CAGACAGATATATTTTCTCCACTATTTCCAAAACCATTCATACTTTTGATGCAGGGACATCAAAGTGAATGTTAGCTTCCTGCAGCGTGCAGTTTACTGACTCCCCAGGGAGCGGTTTCCTTGTTATAATAGGGAGAAGATTACATTCACATCTTATCTCCACATTATATGACATGCTTTCCCTTACGTTCCATGTGTAATCGGGTTTACGGAAAACGTACAATGAAATACAGCCCTCAGTAATCACATTGCTACATATCAGAGGTCAAACCTTTATAGGGAATAGACTCTGTGTGGGTTTTTTGTGTGTGCGTATGCGTACCTGTCATGCACAGTACATAGAGCTGGGTGCAGAATTCAGCTTCTAAAGATTCTTTTTTTGGAAAAACGATGTTTCTAGTCCTTAGCAGAAATTGTGTGCATATATTTTTATACACACATGCACACACAAAGTTGGCATCTTTCTGTTTTGAGAGGGAATAGAGTGCATCTTTGGAGGTGAAGTCAAATTGCTACATTAGCAGCAGCAAAGCGACCTATCAGGGCACAGCCTGGGCAGTCTGTATGGGGGTCCTGGGCTGACCAGACGACAAGACCCCCCCTGACCTTACTGATAGGGTTCAAAGGAAAGCAGAGCAATACGTTTGGCACCAGCTGCAGGAGTTGCCAGAAGGAGACATAAAAGGTGCCATCCAACCGTCTTAGGGACTCGGCTCCAGATTTCTGTAGAGCAGGCATCCCCAAACTCAGCCCTCCAGCTGTTTTGGGACTACAGCTCCCATCATCCCTAGCTAACAGGACCAGTGGTCAGGGATGATGGGAATTGTAGTCCCAAAACAGCTGGAGGGCCGAGTTTGGGGATGCTTGGTGTAGCGTTTACTCCTAAACCTTTTCTTCTTTGGATTTGGGCTTAAGCTACGACGCTTACCAAGACTTTGAAAAGTTTTCCTTGACTCTTTTTCTTCCAGGTGAAATGTGATCACTATTGGCCTTTCACGGAAGAGTTGGTTCCTTATGGGGACATCACAGTGGAGATGCTGTCTGAAGAAGAGCAATCGGATTCGGTCTTTAGGAATTTCAGAATCAACTATGTAGGTCAATGTAAAGGGTTTTTTTGTTTTTACTAATGCTGTTCGTCCTGCAAACTTTGGATCTAAATTCAAACCTCTTGTAAACACAAACCTTTTATTAATAAAGTGTATCCATAGTGGGCTGCCTTGCCCCATATATCCCTGTGGTCTTTAGATGTGGCATTGCTGAAAGTACTGCATGCCCCCAAAATGCACATAACTTATACTAGAAACTGGGCTTTTAGTGTTGCAGCTCTAGCCCTCTGGAATAGATTGCCGGCTGAAATTAGCCGTGATGTTTTAGCCACTTATTGAAGACATTTCTGTTTAATTAGGCTTTCCTGGAGGTTTGATCCAGTCATTGATGAAATACCAACTGGGCATCTATGGGAATGGCTTTATAGTTTTGCAGTCTATAGAAATGGGTTTAATTGTTCTTAGAATTTGTATTATATTTTTCATTTTATCTTGCACACCTCTTTGAGGGCCTTAGGCTGTGAAGAGGTTTATAAATTTGCAAAATAATTATATTATTATTATTATTATTATTATTATTATTATTATTATTATTTTGGGAATGTTTATTTTAAAGCAGCCAGTCTTGAGTAGGGCCCTGGCTGGGGTTGGGGTTGGGGTGTTTTAACCCTTTACTCCTGCTGTTGCCCCAATCTGGATTTCCAGGGACTGTGACTTTCATCGGGAGGTAAATTCCAATGGCTACCTTTCTCACCTTTCAAAATGTCCCTGGCCTGGAGTTGGTGGTCACTGATTTATAAAGGCAACGGCTGCTAAGCACCACTTTTCTTTCTCTTTCCCCCAGGCCGATGAGGTGCAGGATGTGATGCATTTTAATTACACGGCTTGGCCTGACCACGGAGTCCCTCCCACAAACGCAGCAGAAAGCATCTTGCAGTTTGTACAGATGGTCAGGCAGCAGGCAGCAAAAAGCAAAGGCCCCATGATCATACATTGCAGGTGAGCCTCCTTGTTGCAATGCCTTTGAAGCGCTCACAAAGATGGCTGTGCAATTTGTTGTGGTTGTTAGTATTGCTATTGTTTCATTTATGTGTTTTTAAAAAACATTTTTATTGAAATTTTACATTTTTTTAACATCAAAATATCATAACATATAACAAAAATACTATTCCCCAATTCCTCTTCTGTTGTGTGTGTTTTTTTTTTTTTTTTTTGGCATATTATCTCTCCCTGCTTATTGGTTATTTCTTACTCTTTAACATTTTTTAACACAAATATTATTATTCTCTTATCATTTCAACATCCTCATTCTATTTCCTACATTTATTTTGTTAATTGCAAGTGTTTACTCAACCCCTGCAAATGAGTCCATTTCTTTACATTGATTCTATAAATATGACATGAATGGTTCCCAGTCTTTCTTCAAGTCTCTATTGTCCTTGTCTTGAAGTCTTTCCGTTAATTTTGCCATTTCAGCGTATTCCATCTGTTTTCCTTGCCATTATTCTTTAGTTGGTATTTCAACACTTTCCCATCTTTGTGCTAGCAATATTCTAGCCGCAGTTGTAGCATACAGTGGTACCTCGGGTTACGAACAGTCCTGCTTATGAACGCTTTGGGTTACGAACTCCAAAAACCCGGAAGTAGGTGTCCCGGTTGTGAACTTTGCCCCTGGATATGAACGTAATCCGTTTCTGGGGCCACGGGAGGCCTATGTAGGGAATGCATGCCTCGGGTTAAACATGAACTTCTGGAATGAATTAAGTTCGAAACCCGATGTATCACTGTACATGAAAAGTTTTTTCTTCCCTTTTGGCGAATCTCGACCTGAAATGCCTGGAAGTGTTTTTTTTGTTATTGTTTCATTTATGAACTGCTTCCCAGGAAACATCTGAAAGAAGCTTCACAATGCACAACATAAAGTTAGCCCTCTGCACATAGCTGTCAATGTTTCCCTTTTTTAAAAGGAAATTCCCTTATTCCGAATAGGATTCCTCACAAGAAAATGGAAAAGTTGACAGCTATGCCTCTGCAGCATAAGTGATCTCCTATGATGACAGTGGTGGGTGTTTGCAATGTGAATACTGTTTCCCAAAATGGGGTTGCATTTCAAGCACATTCTCACTTAGGGATGAGGGATAAATTTGATGGGATTTACATGTAAAGGTGAACCTACGTAATATGCACTTTTTTTGCAAGAATACTAGAACCGAGACATAGCCATCTTTTAAAACGTGTGCTTCTCTGAATTTTGCAATGCAGCTCTGGGTTCAAAAATGCATTGTTTTAGAGGGAAATTGATTTGCAATAATAATAATAATCCATATATTAAGCAAAATCACATAGAGGAAAAACTTGCGTAATAAATCAAATTCATTAGAACTTTTATTTGGTTTTATTTTGCAAACTGATGTGAAAAACAAAACAAACTGACGTTGAAATTAGGGTCTTCAGACTGGATAAACGAGCAACACAGAGAAACAAAAAATGGATAGAAGTGCCCATCCCTATTCCCACTGCTCCCCTCTGTTTTGCAGTGCCGGCGTGGGACGGACGGGGACTTTTATAGCATTGGACCGACTCTTACAGCACATTCGGGACCACGAGTTTGTAGATATATTGGGGCTGGTGTCTGACATGCGGTCCTATCGGATGTCCATGGTACAGACAGAGGTAAGATTTTCAGTTGCGCCCCCCCCCCCGGTGCATTTATTTGTTTTACTTGCGGGATTTATACCCTGTCAATCCCAGGGGGCTTCCAGAAAGTTAAAATGACAATAACTATCACCACCACCCAAACAATTAAAACTTAGCAACATGGCAGGGCAGCATCAAAGCAATCTGCAGAAGTGAAACAAGCACAAAGCCACGTGAAGGTTTGAAAAGCCTGAGAAAGTTTTTTAAAGTCCTTGCCTGCCATTGAAATGACAGCAAGATCGACACCAGGTTGTTGGTTATTTTGCAGATTAGTTGTGCTGCAGAAGGCGTGCTGGGGAGACCACACATTCAAGAAACGCAGAAGTAACTTCTGCGTGGTTTTAATAACAAAAACTCCTTTTACACTAGATTACATTATATCAATAAGTACGACCCATTCACCAGGGTACTGAGAGAGCTACATGCTGCTCTTTATATACTATACCCAATTGCTGACACAGCTTAATTAACACAACTTAACAGCACCTGCTATACTGCTTCACAGCTGTAAAACTAGGTCATGTTATTTCCTCTGGCCTTTTAAAGAGATACACATCTTGTGAAACAATAATGAACCTTAAAGAAACCATTCAACACAGGTGAGCCTCCCTGAGGAAAACATTCCACACTCGGTGCCACCACTAAGGAGTCCCTTCTGCAGCCACCTGCCCCACCTCAGGTGTGTGCCTGAAGAAGGAGCTCCACTGAAGATCTTAGCATTCATAAGAAGAGCTGTGCAGGATCAAACCTAAGGCCCATTTATCCAGGATTTTGTTCCCACAGTGGCCAACCAGGTGCCTCTGGGAAGCCTGGAGGCAGGGCTGGAATGGAGACAGTGTCTGCCACACTCGAGGGCAGCAGACTAGCTTAGGGGATGCAGGGCCATCCTTAAATACTTGGCCACCCTCACTCACAGCTCTGCTTGGTGCCTGTTCACTGCCTGCTTGAATGCTGCTGCAGTAGCATATGGGCACAGCAATGCATGTGTATGGACACAAGAAGACCCTGCTGGGTCACAGGCCAATGGTCCATCTACTCCAGCATCCTGTTCTCACAGTCTCAGACTACAACTTCCATCAGCCAGCGCAGCATTAAGTACGGAAGTGGATCATAAGTTGTCTAGGGCTGGTAGGCTTTATAGCCCCAAATCTCTGGAGTGCACCAGGTTGGGGGAAGGCTTGCATCACTTTAAATCATAGAGTTGTAGAGTCGGAAGGGACCCTGAGTATCATCTAGTCCAACCCCCTGCAATGCAGCTGTCCCATATGGGAAACGAACCTGCAACCTTGGCATTATCAGCACCATGCTCTAACCCACTGAGCTATCCAAGCTGAACTGTGTGGTGTGTGGAGAAGCACCTCCTTTCATCTTTCCTGAATCTCCTTCAGCTTCATTGGATGACCCCAGTTTCTGGTATTATGACAGCAAGGACAAGAGGGTGGGACTTCTCCACTTTCCCACACCATTCTTAAATTTAATGGGGACGCGGATGGTGCTGTGGGTTAAACCACAGAGCCTAGGACTTGCCGATCAGAAGGTCGGAGGTTCGAATCCCCGCGACGGGGTGAGCTCCCATTGTTCTGTTCCAGCTCCTGCCCACCTAGCAGTTCAAAAGCACGTCAAAGTGCAAGTAGATAAATAGGTACAGCTGCGGCGGGAAGGTAAACGGTATTTCTGTGCGTTGCTCTGGTTCACCAGAAGTGGCTTAGTCATTCTGGCCACATGACCCGGAAGCTGTACGCCAGCTCCCTCGGCCAATAAAGCGAGATGAGCGCTGCAACCCCAGAGTCGGTCACGACTGGACCTAATGGTCAGGGGTCCCTTTACCTTTACCTAGCATGCCCTCCCCCTTACACTCCTTTTTCCGAAGGAGCGTTCAATATTGTAACCTTTTCTCACCGGAGAGTTGTTCCAACCCCTTGATTATTTTGATCGCCACAATTTGTTTTGCCCCCTTTCCAATTCAGTGATATACTTTCTCGTTGAGGTGCAGTGACCAGAACTGTACACAGTATTCCCAGTTTATTTTATTCTCAAACCCTTTGCTTAATGATCTGTAACATGGGCAGGTTCGTGCAGAGATGAGCAGTTTTGCGGGGGGTCCCAGTCTCAAGCTCTTGAGGTCTTTAAAGGTCAAGATGAGCACTCTGCATTGAGGCCAGAAACAAATTAGGAGCCAGTGTGGTTGGTGAAGCCCTGGCCTAATGTGATCACAGCATCTAGTCCCAGTTAACAGCCTCAAACTTAGGGATGGGGAAAATTGATTTCACATTTAAAAGGCAAATCTACCCAATTCGCTTTCTAAAAACCATACTTAAATGAAAACACAGCCATCTTGTGAAATTCACTCGTCTCTGAATGTTGTGACGCAGTCCTCCAGTCAAGTGATATGTACGGAAATGCAAATTATTGAAGTGTGCCTAAAGGGGCATTAGTGAAAATAGCATACCATAATGTTTGGCATTAGGGAAAATTGTTTTACAAAACTGCAAAGAAAACAATTGTATACTTGGAGGAATTTGAACTGAAGCACTGACGAATTTTCCTGAAGACTCTTAAAAATAATAATCACAAAGAAATGTAGAGAACTGAACTTGAGAATGGTAAAATGAGAACCAAAGAGAAAACTAAACTGACAGATTTCCACATCCCTGGTGTGTATAAAACCAGGCCTTTCTGACACGCTGTACCTCTCTGTGGAGCAGATCAGGGTACTGTCAGGTGAGCTGCTGTTCCTTCCCCCCCCCCCCCTTATCTATGCCACCCACTTGTTTGCATAGTGGCACTCAATTAGCTTTCCTCCAAAGTGCCCACGCACTAGTGACTGCCAGCTTCTGTGCAGTTTCCGAGTTCCTGCTGTTTGCCAGCTGGCCTCTCCTCCTGTTCCATTGGCAGAGCATCACTGCATCCCCCCTCTCTGTCTCTCATGCACAAACACAGCAGACAGCAGGGCTTTGTAATGCTTCAGCAAACCGGATCTGGATTAAAGAACACCCCCAACTCGTGCCAGTATTTAACACTCAGGAGCAGGATATGATGAACTAGTTGCCGGGGCTGGAGTGTCCAGGGAAGCGGGGAGAGAGTCAGCAAGCAAAGGAGAAACCACAATATTTAATCCCCTATATAGGCTTGGGATATAGGACTGTAAATGTGGTCCTCCAAGCCTCTCTGTCTGGCCCTTGGGTCCTTCGCCAATACTACCCTGGGTTATCCTTGATTGCTTTTACCTGGAAAGCATCCTTGAGCTCTCATAATGCCTTTGAAATGGAACTGTGCTTTCATCCTGTCCTTTCAATTCTGAGCTTGCTGGCCCAACCTCTGAAGTATGCAGGTTGACCCACCTGCCCATGACACCTGAGCTATTTGATTCAGCAGATCTGAATGCTTCACCTCACCTCTGTTCCCTCAAAATAAGAAGAAGAAGAATGAGCCAGATTGGTAGTTTTGTAATCTGGGGAACCGGGTTTGCGTCTCCGCTCCTCCACATGCACCTGCTGGGTGACCTTGGGCTAGTCTCACTTCTCCGAAGTCTCTCAGCCTCACTCACCTCACAGAGTGTTTGTTGTGGAGGAGGAAGGGAAAGGAGAATGTTAGCCGCTTTGAGACTCTTTTGGGTAGTGATAAAGCAGGATATCAAATCCAAACTACTACTACTACTACTACTACTACTCTTCTTCTTCTTCTTCTTCTTCTTCTTCTTCTTCTTCTTCTTCTTCTTCATTACTTATACTAAATCCTTTTGATTGGGTTGCCCTAGCCACTCTGGGTGGCTTCCAACAGAATATAATGGATCAAAATGAAACATCAAACATTAAAAGCTTCCTGATACAGGGCTGCCTTCAGATGTCTATGGAAAGTCAGATAATCAGTGCTTTTTTCCTGGAAAAATAGGTGCCAGTGCTCACCATGAAGTTGTTACAGTAAGTGCCACGCTTTTTAACAACAAATTGGTGCCAGTACTGAGTATCCCCTGAAAAAACGCACTGTGTATAATTATTTATCTCTTTGACATCTGATGGAAGGGCATTCTACTGCCCAGCTGCAACTACCAAGAAGGCTCTCTGCCCGGTTCCATGTAACCTCACTTCTCATAGTGAAGGAACTGCCAGAAGGTCCTCGGAGCTGGATCTCTGTGTCCAGGCTGAATGATGGGGGTGGAGACGCTCCTTCAGGTATACAAGGCTGAGACTCTGTAGGGCTCTGTAGGGAACCAACACATGGAATTGGGCTTGGAAATGGGAGCCAATGTAGATTCTTATACCTGAAGGAGCATCTCCACCTCCAATGTTCAGCTTGGACACTGAGGTCCAGCGCCGAGGGCCTTCTGGCAGTTCCCTCGCTGTGAGAAGCCAAGTTACAGGGAACCAGGCAGAGGGCCTTCTTGGTAGTGGCGCCCGCCCCGTGGAATGCCTTCCCATCAGATGTCAAAGAGATAAATAACTACCTGACATTTAGAAGACATCTGAAGGCAGCCCTGTTCAGGGAAGTTTTAAATGTGTGACATTTTAATGTATTTGTAATCTTTGTTGGAAGCCGCCCAGAGTGGGCAGGATAAAAATAATAAATTATTATTACTATTATTATTATTATTATGCCCCTCCATGGACAGCTGTGAGTGATGGAAGCTTCAGGAAGTGAGAATCCCCCTGAAACTCCTATGCAGGGGGAAAGTTTTGCAAAAACTCTCCCCACAAAGCATATTTCTGATCATGTGCCTCTCTCTCTGCACCACGAATGCTCTTTAAATAACCAGACTTGTACATGCTTTCTGGTTTGGTGCTTCCAGGGAAGAACAATTCTGCCTCTTTTAATGGTCCCTCCATCGGTTCATTTCCGAAAGCGAGTTGATCCGAAGGAGGGGAAATACTTCTCTTAACAGCCACTAGATGTCAGTGCGCTTTAAGGAGCTGGAAGCCAACCAGCCTTGGGAGGGTTGTGAATGTTTCCGCAGAAAACTTGAAACCACACTGTGCTCACCACTCACCTGGTCTCAGGTTACCTTCTGAAGTGGAAAATGAATTGGCTATGCTCACCGCATCGCTCTCAAGCCTTCTGGGTGAGGCGAAGGCCAATGCTGCGTGCAGATAGGAAAAAACTGGAAGCCTGCTTTTCAAAGGAGTCTCTTAGACCCTGACAAGGCTGGTCACTGAGCCTGAAACGCTCAAACGAAACCTGCCACGAAAGTCATGAGAAGGGATATAGAATATAACCAGTTCAGACCCCAGGACCAATCTTGACAGAGCAACGAATTATATGAAAAGTTCCTCCGAATGTTCAGAGCAGTTCCCCATCCTTTTTTTCCTTTTCTTTCATGCTGTCCATATAACATTGATTTTTATTTTATTTTTTGCTCCCAACTGTCCCAGGGAAGCGGATGTCATTTCTGGGATCCACCAGGATCAAGAAGACTGCTTTTAGCACATGCGTAATGGATGTGGGTGGCTGGGTTCATAAACCAGATCCCACTGGATGTGATAGACTGCCTTTTGGTCTCTCTCTCTCTCTGCAGGAACAATACATTTTTATTCACCAGTGTGTGCAATTAATGTGGCTAAAGAAAAAGAAGCAGTTCTGCATCAGCGACGTTATATATGAGAATGTCAGCAAGTCATAATTCCAGGCCAGGCGGTGAGTCCGAGGAGCTTTCTTTGGCTTTCATGCTTGAGTTTTGACTGCTCGCTCAGGAGCAGCTGCTGTCATAAATATTAAAGCCCCAGCCTTTTTATTTATTGCAAGGACCGTGCCTCAAAGCCAGATATTCCCATCCAGTTAGCATACGGCAAACGGGTTCTGCACATGGAGTGCTGGCTTGATGAGTCCTACCTGTGCTTGCAATGCAAGAGGCTCAGCCGCTAGAGCTGCCCATTCACAGCCAGGTTTAAAAATAAAATGGTAGTGCCAAACGTAACTGCTTGGGAGGAGATGCAGAGCTGGATTTCAACCAGTGGTGGTTGGTATCCATTGGGCAGGGTGCAAGGCAGGAGGCCAACAGCAGGTGGAGCTAGAGCCGTTAGGCTGTATGCAGCAAAACAGAATCAGTAACACAAGGATTTCTGCTTGCACTATGTATCCCTCTGCTCTGCAGTAAGGGAGCATTAATAATACTAAATTATCTACACACACACACACACACACACACACACATTAATGTGCAAGTTGCTAACATGTAAGGATATAAATAGGGGTGCACATCTGAATATGTATCAGAATGCTCTCCCCGTTCGATGCAAGGTAGAGAGCCTGCATCTTCCTTTGAAAATGTATCTCCAGTCTATGTTATTTGCTCCCAGTCCAGCCAGGAATATGCCTGCCTGAGCCCTGCTTACATGCG